AAAAAAAAATAGAATTGTATAATATGTGTTCTTTTGTGACTGGCTTCTTTCATTTAGCATGTTTTCAGGGTTTATCCATGTTGCAGCATGTATTGTACTTCATTTCTTTTTATTGTTCAATAATATTCCATTGTGTGTATGTATGTGTGTGTGTGTGTGTGTGTGTGTGTGTGTGTGTGTGTATACCGCATTTTATTTATGCATTCATGGGCAGGTGGGTACTTCTTACTTTTTGGCTATTATGAATAATGCAGATGAATATTTGTGTACAAGTGTTTGTGTGGATGTATGTTTTTATTTCTCCTGGGTATATACCTAGAAGTAGAATTGCTGTGTCATATGGTAACTCTATGTTCAAGGCATGTTTGAGACACTGCCAGGCTGTTTTCTGAAGTGGCTGCACCATTTTTACATTCCCACTAGCAGTATATGAGGGTTCCAATTTCATAACTTCTTTGTCAATTATTATTATCTGTCTTTTTTATTATAGTCTTCTAGTGAGTGTGAAGTAGTATCTCATTGTAGTTTTAATTTGCATTTCCCTGTTGGCTAATGTAAATATACTTTATACCAAATATTACATTCTAAAGGGAGTTAAGGTGAGTTAACTTAGAACAATTTAGACATCTTGCTTTACTACTACTACTTCTGATTTAGGTGTAAAGAAGTAAGCTATGGTTAGTTATGAGTTAAAATTAAACATCCTTTATACAAACACTGACATTTTGAGGGTCTTCAAAACATGGAAAATTTTAGAATAAAATTCTTAGTTCAGGTTCTACCAATTTTTGGATAGTCCCCCAAATCTTAGATGTATTTAGGGAATGCCCTAATTTCATACAGTTCATTTCTTTTAATGTTGTCTGAAGGGAAGACTGAAGAATTTTTTTTTTCTTTTACTGTTACCAGCTAACTAACGGCAAGTTTCTAAAATGGGAGAATTTGGCTACTCAGCCCCTAAGTTTCATTTTCAGCAGAATTTTTTTTCTTTATGCTAGCAGCTGGAAATTAAAAAGACCTTAAGATCTTGGAAAATCTAGGGCATGTATTTTCAAATATATTTTCACATCTCATGGAGATAGAGTTCAAAAGTAAAATTAATACGCCAACATCTTTTATTTGGAACACATGCTAGCAGAGGAATCTTTAGTGCAAAGTATACAATGGCAGTCTGACATATCTGGAAGACTCTTAATTGCTGGGAGTATGTATGGGTTGATAAAGCTCAGTAGATGATTTTGATACCTATTCTCCCTTTCACCTAAATCAGAATGAAAATCAGAAGTAGAAAGCATGACTATCAGACTATTATATAGGAAAATTCGTGTTGACTGCAAAGGAATAGTTCTTTTTTTAAGGAATCAGTCAGTGAGGTAATTAACACAGACTGTAGCTAGGAGGGTAGAGTAGAAATCTTGGCAGGAAACAGCCTAGGGCATTGTAAACTTTGGCGGGGAGGAGTGAGAAGAATATCACTTTTCAGGATTGGGGTTGAGGTACTCATAGCTACAAATGATTAAATCTGGGGTTGGTGGTTTTAGTTATCCTTTCACCCATCAAACATGAGTGCCTTCTGTGTGAAGGGCATCTTATTAACCATTATAAGAATATGAATGATCTTTGCCTTTAAAGCATTTCTAGTCTGTTAGGAGGCACATGCTTGCCAACAAATAGTTGCAATATAGTATGAAGTGTTATTGTAAATGAATGTTTAGGGAACTATGTAGTACTAAGTAGGAAGCCACTCACAAAAATAAAACTATGAAATGCTTGATTTTAGGATCAAATTTTACATTAAATTTTCCTCTCCCTTTTCCTTCTCACTTCTCCCCCTATCCTAATGTATTTCAGCAAATATCATAATATTTTATTTATTCTCTTTCTAGGAGATAAAAACAGCTCATAAATTGGCGAAGAGATGTTACACAAATCCACCACAGTGGGCCAAGTGTCTGTTCAGTCATTGTTACAGTCTATGGTTTATTTGTCTACCAGCGTATGTTAGAGTTTCTCATCCTAAGGTCAGAGCACTTCAACAGGCATATGATGTACTTATTAAGATGAGGAAAACAGATGTGGATCCACTAGATGAGGCAAGTATGACAAACTGAATCATTATTACTAAGATAAATTTTACTTTTGTACTTTTAAGAAAATTTAGGTCTCAGTTGCTTTAAAGTGTTTTCAAGCATTTTCATTAAGCAAAAATGGTAAAACTATTAGTCTGTTTCACAGAGCTAGCACATACTGTTTATTTTTAAATGTATTTATTTAAAAATTACTGCTTTGGAATGAAGCAGAGACCTCTTAGACCAGATTGTTTGCCCTTGATAAACAGAAAATAATATTGATTTCATTTTTTTTTTTTTTTTGAGACAGAGTCTCGCTCTGTAGAAAGAGTTTTGCCCAGGTAGAGTGCAGTGGTGTCATTGTAGCTCACTGCAACTTCAAACTTCTGGACTCAAGCAATCCTCCTGCCTCAGCCTCCTGAGTAGCTGGGACTACAGGCTTGTGCCAGATGCTGGCCTAATTTTTCTATTTTTTTTTTTTTTTTCTTTTTTTAGTAGAGACAGGGTCTTGCTTTTTGCTCAGGCTGGTCTCAAACTCCTGAGCTCAAGCAATCCCTCTGTCCCTGCATTGGCCTTGCAGAGTGCTAGCATTACAGGCATGAGCCACCACGCCCAGCCTCATTTTATTCTTCATATAACTTAATTAGGGAACAGATAGGGAATAGTCTTTTAGTAAATGGCTCTCCACTTAGGACTTGTGTCTTAGGGTGAGTTACATAGTCTGTTTGTGTTTCAGATTATTCATCTGAAAATGTAGGCTTGAGTTTCTCAACTTTGGCACTATTGGCATTTTAGCCCACATAATTGTTTATTTGGGGGCCTGTGCTATCATTGTAGGATGTTTAGCAGCATCCCCCTACCCACTAGATGCCAGTAGCATCCCTTTCCCCCCTACATGTCATGACAATCAAGATGGTCTCATTGTCACATCTCCTGGAGGCCAAAATTGCCCCTGGAGAACCACTAATGTAGATAATAATAAGTGCTTTCCTCAAAAGGTTAATTTGGGTAATATACATAAAGTGCCTGGCTCTTAGTAAACAGTCAGTGAATGATGCATAAAACATTTTCATGTATTATCTCTCTTAAGCCTCAGAACCATCCTAAGAGGTAGGTAGTGATATCATCCAGTTAATGGTTGAGGAAACTGAGGCACTTATTTGGCTTTTCTCTGTGCTATTTTTCCCTTTAAAAACTATTTCTGGTATTAACTATAAATGATATTTAGAACCAGATTAGAATTTAAAATGAACAGTCTTTGCTAATAATATTACGGTGTACTTTCTTCTCATTCTTTTTAAGGCAAATCTTGTTTGTTACACAGGCATTCTGGAGATGCTGTTTTTAATTCCTTTGGCACAGAATATAAGCGTAGTGGGGAGAGAACTATTTTAATCATACTTGGTTTTAGAAATGAATTCGTTTTCAAGTTATGGAGAGTGATAGTCATTCTCTTTGTGTAGACTTAGTTACTCAAACAAATGGGACATGAGCACATAGTTCTTATGTGAAATAGTTGATAATACTTGCATTAATGAATAGGTTTTAAAATAATTTACTAAGATGCTCAAACCAGAACAAAGGAGAAAATAGTGCTTAATAACTTTCTGAAAAGAATTGAATAAAGTCATTTAAAAATCTTTACAAATAGACTAATGTGCTAATTACTGATGCTTTTGTATCATCTTTTGTTAGGTATGCTATCGAGTAGTAATGCAGCTTTGTGGACTTTGGGGTCATCCTGTTTTGGCAGTGAGGGTCTTATTTGAAATGAAAACTGCCAAGATAAAGCCAAATGCTATCACTTACGGTTATTATAATAAGGTAAGTAGGATTGACATTATTAAATATGCTGCTTATTAAGAATGATAACTTTTTATACCTTTTATTATTCATGAAATTTCTCAGGTGGTTTTGAGGGTATAATTCTTTCTTTTAATTGACAAATAAAAATTGTATATATTTATCATGTAGAACATGATGCTTTGAGAAATGTATACATTGTAGAATGTCTGAATTGAGCTAATTAACGTGTTACCTCATATACTTACCATTTTTTGTGGTGGAAGCACTTAAAATCTACTTCCTTAGCAATTTTCAAAATACAGTACATTGTTATTAACTTTAGTCACCATATTGTACAATAAGTGTCTTCTTGAATTTATTCCTCCTGTCTAATTAAAACTTTGTATCCTTTGACCAACATCTCCCCAACCTCCTGAAGCCCCATAACCACGATTCTACTCTGTATTTCTGAGTTTAACTTTCTTAGTTTTCACATATGAGATCATGTAGTATTTGTCTTTCTGTACCTGGCTTATTTCACTTATATAGTGTCATCTGGGTTCATTCATATTGTTACAAATGACAAGATTTCCTCATTTTTGAAGGCTAACTAGTGTTCCATTGTGTATATATATCACATTTTCTTCTTCTGTTCATCCATTGATAGGACGCTTAGGTTGATTCCATATCTTGGTATTAGGAATAATGATGCAGTGAACATGGGAGCGTAGATATCTCTTCCACATGCTGATTTTATTTACTTTGGATGTATACCTAGTAGTGGAATTGCTAGATCATGTGGTAGTTCTATTTTTAATTTTTTGAGGAAACTCCATATTCTTTCTTTAATAGTATGAGGAAGCTCCGTAATGGCTGTACTAATTTGCATTCCCAACAGTGTGCAGGGGTTCCCCTTTCTCCATATGCTTGCTAAACATCTTTTGTCTTTTTGATAAT